ACTATAGCACTGAATGGTTTCTCAATAATAAACCCTGGATCACCAGTTATCTGAAGGAACTGCAAAAAATAGCCCTCATTGAGGAGTACACAGAACCAACTTAAGGTCAAGCAAAAAGAAAACAAGGAGGAAAGCAGGAAAACTAGCTAGCTGACAAACAGACCACAGTTTGTCAGACTGAAGGGTCAACTCTCCCTTCAGTAGTACAGGAGTACCACAGGGGACAGTACCCTCACCAATACTTTTTACTCTGTACACCTCTGACTTCCAATACAAGACATTCATCTGCTGAAGCACTTGAATGACTGCAGTTATTGGGTGCCTCAGAGATGGCAAGAAACTGAACACAGGGAGCTGATGAACCACTTTGTGGCATAGAGTCAAGTCAATCATCCCATCCTGAATATAAAAAAAAAAAAAAAAAGGTGGTGGTTTATTTAAAAACGAACAAGCTGCAACCTATTAATGTCATGATAGTAGAAAGGGAGGTGGTGGAGGAGAATAAATACTTTGGTGTTCACCATAACAATAAATTCAAGCTGGGACTATATAGTGGACTTTATAGCAAACTCAGAACTTATCGTTCGGACAGATACACAGAATGCAATTAATTTATAGTCTTATAGATTCATGTACATCAATTTTAATGAATAAGGTTGTCCGAAGTACTCATACCATCATGCGAAAAGTATCTGGTGTGCACGTGAAACTGGTGTGCATGAGAAACTAACTGGTGCGCTCGCAGAAGTTTTCTACTTTTTTTCTCTTCAGCATCCCTTTAGGGGCTCAGTAGATTCTGAATGACAAATTAAAACATTTTTTATACAGATCTTTTCAGAAGAACCTGAATGTACCTATGTTTCTGATGTTCTGTGTAATTTGGCTAAATAAAGGCTTCACTGCACATACAGCATATCTCGACTGCATCAATTATTTTTTGTTTCTATATATTATGATCACACATCTAAAGGGAGATGAGTACGCTGATCTGTTCTATCATACATTTTTTTGTTTGGATTTACAATTTAAGTTGTCCTGTTATGTAATTAATAATTACATTTGCTGTAGTTTAGAGCTAAATGAATAAAATAAAACAATGAATGTACTTTTTTTAATACTTCCTTTCTTTTTTATAAAAGAGCATTGGAATTTTTTTTTCTTTTGTTTTTATAGAAAGTTTAACAAAAGCATAATGCATTTATTTTTCCTTATGCAGTTATGAAGATAAAATATTACTTTATTTTATTCAAAATATATCTCCTTTTTGCTGTATAATCTTGAGAATGTATTAGAAATTTCTGTTTTATTATAAAGAGCAGCTGCACCATCTTGTGGCCGATGCCACAGCATGCAGAGCCAGTATTATAAAGGTTCTTTATAAATTGCCTTTTTGTCTGTTTAGTTTTGTCAAATATACCCTAAATATATTTATATACATCTGACGATTAGCACAAAAAGCTTAAAGTAAAAGCCACAGACAATAAATGTGTTTTTAAAACAGTCTTAAGTAATGATCATAATGATATTGATAGCAATGAATACACATGTTCACTTTGGTTATATATCCTCTTGCATATCTCACCTTAATCACATGCTTATCTATCCATCAACAAGCTTCAGGCTGGATATTTGACAACTCTGTGTTTTATCTGACAAGCTTTTGATTAGAGTTGAAGAATTGTACCCTGACTCAGTGTGTGGACTGAATCAAATAAGCACAAAAATGTTTAAAAGCACGACTCATCTGGACTTTATCCACTATTCTTCTTTCCATTGTGGCCAAAAAGCTCAATCCACGTTTTATTTGACAATAAAGCTTTCTCCAAAGGGCATTTGCCTTGTCAAATTTGGGCAGCTTTGAGTTCTCGTTAAGAATGAAGGTGTAGATTTTTGAGCAGGTGCAGCTTATTGGTTGGCACCCTATAGGTTTACTATATTAAACTCACTTATCTGCAGACGATAATACTGGTGATTCAGCAGCTTCAAGTACATGACAGGCGAAAAAAGTAGGTAATGTACTGGTGATCAGTTTTCTTCCATGTTTGGGTCTGCTTGCATACCTTGACAAGGTAGTAACACGTCTACAAAGCTTGTGTTTAGTACAATAGTTTGGTCTGATGACTGTAAAAGAGCTGTTTGGAATATACAATGTTCTGTAATCTATTGATCTTCTTTGTAGATCTTTCATGGATTCCTCACACTCTAGTTTTTTCTGATAAGAAGCCAATTCACACACACAAAAAAATCCTCTAAAATAATAAATGTTGACATGGACAAACTGCCAGTTGTAGTTTATAATGATCACCAACTAGAGGTCAAACCTTAAAATATATTTCACTCACTAAAAGATATATGCCATATCAGACTAGTTCTCATTTTCAAAAACCATTGCATTTGTATGTCTTTTAATAATGACAGACCCTTATCGTGACACTTTTTGAGAGTCAGGAAGAAAAAGAACATAAATAAAACAAAGTTGGGTTCTCAGACAAACTGTTCTTCATATGCCACTGGAGAAGTCCTTGATGTACGTACTTGTTTAAAACAACTAATCTCTAAAAGTGATAAGTGAATCCTTTGTTGAATGTACCAGCCTTGAAAAGACTGTCACGCTACTGATGAAAAGTGTCTTCCAAACAAACATAAAATAAGTTACACAGAAATATAGCAGATTTTTTTGCGTGTTTTAACTGAAAAATGTTACTTCTAAATCAATTCCCAGAATCTTCTCTGGTTGTAGTAGGTCTGAAATCTGACTTTTTACATTAATTCCTCTAAAGTGGCTCCTCCTTTGGCCATAATGCTGTAGATATTTTGAGACACAGGCTCAGATTGAGTTGTGCACATCGTTTAGGGTATTTAAGCCAAAGTGAAATGTGTTTGCATTTACCATGCTAAGTGCTCTCCAAATAATGCTGGTATTAAGAAGGGAGGTAGGAAAAGGAGGCTGGAGGCTTCAGGATGATAGTTCATTTAGCATAGGGACCTCCAAACAATCCCATCTGCTGCTCAGGAGCTACACGTATTCCCACAATCTTTTGTGTGGCAGGAAGTTCGGGTACAGCCCACCTCACAAGACATATCTACATCATTTAACGCACCTTTCAAGTTCCTGGAGAATTTCCTATAGTGGAAATGTGATTACAAAGCTGTTGAGACTACAGTGAACCACAATGAGACAAACATAAAAGAAGACATGGAGCAGAGGGGATTTTTTTTCCATGAGGGGCCGATCAACTTACTTCAAGTGTAAAATAAGGTCTCACTCCCAAAACTTTAGCTTATACTTCCAGTTCATAGCTCCTATACCTTTTGTGGCTTCAACAGTAAGAACACTATCTAGGAAGAAAAGGAACTCTGGACTGCTGTGCTGAATTCAGACAGCACTTCGCCCTGTGGACTTCCCTTTGTGAAGGACAAGCCCATGAGTGACAGTGGTCGGAATGGGACTGCAGCCTTACGGAAGAGAACTACTAAGATTATAATTTACACAAATGAAACAAACAGCAGAAAATATCGGATATGAAACCAAAAACAAATGAAGATGGGGACATTAGCATGTGTCTCACACAGTATGTCACCAAGAACATGTTTTTTTTTTCATTTTAATCTGTGAGGTGGGCTGTGTTCCTATACAGTCTGTCACGCAAACAGATTGTGGGTAACCTTTAATTTCTAAGCAGCATCTAGAGCGGAGGTCTTCAACAGGGGGTCAGTGACACCTAGGGTGTCCGCAGAGGCACTACATGGGGGTCGCGAAAGTTTTGGTTGATTGGACTTTTTTTAAATATTCCCACATACAACTTTTTCCACTAATTGAAATGTCTTTAAATACTCATTAACATGAATTCAACACACTGTAGTAAAATGATAAATGGAGGCAGAAGATGTCTTTCAGTCATCAATGCACACATTCAGCCAAACACAGGAGCTCTTAAAAGCCGGGCACCATTTCATTCACAAGACCTGTCCATTCAACTAGGAATCAGAATCAGAAATACGTTAATAATCCCAGAGAGAAATAAATTTTGTTACATTACTCCATATGTAATAGAGTGACTATAAGACCAGTTTGATATAACACAGTTACATGCAATATATATAATTAGGGGGTCCCCGCTCCATCTCGCCATCAGTTTGGGGGTCCTTGGCCTGGAAAACGTTAAAGACCCCTGATCTAGGGACATCAGAAGGCCCCTATGCTAACTGCAGTAGTGCTAGGAAGTATAGTGCGTCGTTGTCCTAGCTCCCTCCTAACTGCAAGCACTATTCGGATAGTGCTTATTGCAGAGAATGCGAAGGCACTTCACTGAGTCTTTGGTGTCCCTACTAATTTGAGATATTTGGATCATGATGCAACAATAAAACACCCCTGGAAATTACCCCCTGGTGTAAAACATGCACCAATGGATGAGCTCCAAGGGAAAATTTCTGATGACCAAAAATAACATGTTGTCTTCAAAATGACAAAGACCTTTGTCTAGATGTTCTTTAGTAATTACAAAAAAGTAGAGCTTTTGGAAAGATGAATCCCATTACAATGATAAAAAATGAATATTCATTGAAAAAAATTATTTACAATAACCTGGTGGTAATGTTATGGTGTCATATCTTTTTACCCATCTTTTCCTTCCCTCCCTCTTTCTGGTAACAACTAAAAAAATGGCTCCTCACAAACGTAGGATGGCAGCAGCTACCTGCAGATGTCACACAACCATTTCTTTAGCTTTTGGTAGCAACTGCTTATTCACCCAGGAAGAAGTCAAAATAAATGTCTTTAGCTTTCACTCAGGTGTTTCAGGTCTTCTTGTTTCCTTTGGTCATATCCTTTTTACTCCATTTTTGCCCTTAAAAGAGAGACAAATATATTTCCCAAACATATATTATTCCGTAAAGTAAGTGCACACCTGTAACAAACAGTCATTTTCTATGGCCTTAAAGTAGAAGGTGAGATAAAGCCAAGCCACGTGTCAGCCAATCACAATCCAGGATCCAGATCCGGTGAGACTATGGAGGTGTTTCAGGAGTATATCTACGAGCTGAAGCTCCACACAGCTCAATATTTTCCAACTGCAGCAGGTTTTAACTTAGATCCCTGGCCGAAGAAAGTTTTAAGATGAAGCCGTTGGTCCTGCTGCTCTTTTCCATTTGCTGTTTTCCGGGTTCGGTTGGTTCCGCTTCGCCTGTGGAAGACGCGTATAACGCGGTGATCAGCGTCGTTGCTCCGGGGCAGCGCTTTCTGACCGGAGAGTCCCTTCGCTCCCTTTTTAATACCCTGCAGGATCGTGTGCAGTGCGGCGAGGTGCCGTGTGAAAAGGTAGGTTTTATTAGGCCTAACCTGGAAGCCAGGTCACACAGACGCAGGAAAGGAAGCGTTGGTCGGATGGAGGAAGGTCGAGGTCCAGATAGTAACCAGGTGTGCCTGTTCACACTGAGGAAATACTGATTTTTCTAATTAAATACCAGAATATTGGTCATAATATGTTGATTTGGTTTAAAATATCTTAATGAATAAAATTTTAAACAAGAATTGTTAAAGTTTTGGTCTGGATTGGCTCCACTCAAAGCAAAGCTGGGGTTTTTTTTTTTTTTTTTTTTGTTGTTAAAACAAAAAATACACAAATATTGAATCACTGCCAAATGCTGGAAGATGAATTTGTCTTTTTTTTTTTTTTTTTTTTTTTTTACAATATTACGGAAAAAAATAACAGACTTTATAACGAGAAATTTGAATATAACAAAGACAAAAAGATTAAATTTAGGAATAAAAATACAAAAAAAATCTCAATATCATTGATTTAAGAAATAACAAAGACAATTCTTATTTTGGTAAGGATTTCTTTTACTGCTTTTTGAAGGAGTCCAGGATCTCATGACAAAATGAACAAAAAAAATGTAGTTTCATTAAAAGAAAGTCATAAAGTAAATTAAAAAACGTGTTTTGTTGTTAATGTGCTTAAAGAAAATAACCAAGGTTTTCCAAGTGGTTCTTAAACCTTTCAGCTTCAGACACGGAAATTGATAGTGGAAAAGGCCCAAGTTGTTGGTTTACCACTGAGTCTACACCGTTTGACCTTCAGCTCTGGTGCCAACTGTGGTTCTTTTAGGCTCCTGTTGACCTTAGTTTTTTACCATTTGAAAACAATTAATATGCTCAGTGAAAGCTTTTTTTTCCCTATGTGGTTTTATACAACCATCTGCATATAACTCCAGATAAAAGTAACATTAGATACAGTGCTTGTTTGTTTCATCAGCTTTGCTATTGACATTTTATTTAGTTTTTATCTTTGTTCAGGTTCATTAAATATGAAAAGTTTCATTCCAGATATGTTTGGTCTCTTTAAGGAAAATTAGATATTTAAAAATAGTCATGTTTCTTTAAAATATCTTTTTCATTTATTCCATTAAAGAAATAGATTTTATATTGTGTATTCATGGAACCAGGCAGGCGAAGGATCATATAGGACCTATGTTAAGTAATACTAATAGGAGCGAGAAGCTTGCTGACACCTGTTCAAAGAAAATAAAAATAAAAATGTCCACACACATACATATATATATATATATATAGTAAGAGAGAGAGAGAGAGATGCAGTAAAAATACTTCTAAATCATAAATATGCTTGACCACTTTTGTCATTCAGTTTGTTTTCTGAGGAGCGTCTCAGGACCCTACGCTAGTTGATTTGTGCTCATTAGTTGAGCCTGGACCCCTACTTTGGGAACCACCCTGCTTAATAAATGCTTTGATTAGTGAATACATTATAATTTAATTCACAGGGTATCAAGAGAAAAGTGATTAACAAATAAAAAACTGCATTTAAGAAACACTGGTAAAAAGGTCGTTTTTTTGTTTTGTTTTTTTTTTTAAAGGGTTCAAGTATTTATTTTTCATTGAATTGAAACACTAACACAATAATTGAAGTATAACACTGCTTTAATATCGGACTCTAAATCACCCTGTTGTTTTTTATCCATAAGTGAAAAGACATTGTTAATTATATTTGTAAAAATGCAGCAACCCATCCATCTTTAAAGGTTAAGAACTAATCTCCAAAAATCCTAATTATCAAATGAGCATCAACAAGTTGAAAACATTTTAAAAACGTTAATCTCTTCAACATGCTCCTCTTGAGGCCAGGGTGTTATTTCCTGATGTCATTTTTTTTTTTTGTTTAATGTTACAGTTCATGATGTCTACATGGTTTAGATTAGGAGAATTGGATCTGATTTACAAAAAATAACAAACCCCCCCCAGATTTTTGAAAACTCCATGAAGAAAAATGGGTAGTTGCAGATAGTTGAGACCAAAATTCTGTCTTTAAATATTCTTTGCTAGTCACATATTAGTTGGGTTACAGCACTTGATATCTAAAAAGGGTGTCTTTCAATACATTGTTCTGTTGCGGGGAAACGTAATAAAATGTTCTAAAACAAAAGTTTTTCTAAGATGTCGCCATCTTTATCACAATCATTCCATATCCCTTGTTAGATGTCAAATGTTTTTTCAAAGCCAATGTACAATTGATTGTTAAATACCAAGTAATGTGGTGAAATGTATTCATTTTCTTTTTTCTGTTTTTTTTATTTATTTTTTTTATTGAGTTGACAATTAAATATTATGCACACCAAACAATTTATGTGCCGTGTATAGAAATGGTATTTTATTCATTGTTAGGCAAATTCTGAGTAAAAATTTGAGTCTGGGCTTGCCTTTCACCACCAATATATTTGTAAGTTTTTAAAGCTGATCAGGACCCCAAATGTATAGCAAAGTATTTTAGAGTAAGATCTGTTTGCAAAGCGATGCTGATCTATGTTCTTCTACAAATACACAAAAGAATGATGTAAAAAAAAAAAGAAAGAGAATTAAAGTGTTGTAATAGTCCAGTCAAAGTCCAGACATGAAGGACAAGCAGAAAGGAAAGCTGTTAAGCCTCACTGAAGTGAAGTAATGTTGAAATCCCCCCCCAAAGATAGGAGATACTGATAAGCTCACACGGAAGGCTATTATTTCAAGTTAGTTATTGCTGCTAAAGTTAGAATTGCTAGCTGCTTAATTATTGCACTTGTTTTTTTTAACTCTCTGCTTTCACATTGTGCTTCACTGCATTGGCTATGGCCGACTAAACTGTGTTTTAAAATGCATCAGGGAAGGCTTTCCTATGCATTTATTTATTTTATCCCAAAGTTTAAATGGTTGTAGTTGCTAGTTAAATGTTTAATCTATATCTTGATATTCCCATTTTATTAGCAGCAATCTAATGAAACTACCTAATGTAAAAACAATTGAAATAAACATGGAAAAATACCAATATATTTGTCACACAGTAATTTAATCTCCTTGTTTTGCAAAAACCTTCAGAGCCACTGTCCAACACAAATTTAATCAAAAAATAATTGCCATTATTTAAAAGAAAACACGTTCCATTTCAGTTATAGTAAAATTATTCAAACTGAGTTCTCCATTTAACTATACATTGGACAATGTTAAGTTCATAGAAAAATAATTAATTTTAATATTTGTTCTTGTTTCTTGTCCTTTTTGAAGGTTTTCCTTATTTTTCCATACTAATTTAGATCTTTTTCCCCCTATTTATTTTTAAACTCCACCGGTATCTGATTTAGATACATTATCAGTAGGAACAAGATCCTTGAACCTCTTCGATGACAGCTATAAATTCAATAAAAATCAATGCAAAGTATGGATCAGTGGAAAAATACCCTGGGTGGCAGCGAGGGGACTAAAAAAAGAACTAATCAAATTCACAAGTACAGCAGGTTTTTTTTCTTTTTTTTTCTGCTATTTCCATTCATTTCCTACATCATTTAGACTCAAGAAATGGTAGCTGAAGCCACAAACTTTCTCACTGATTTCCTTTAAAAATGGTTAAAAAAAAATGCATCGTCTGTTAAAAAACAACCAAAATTGCAGGTCATGCGAAATCCAACTTATAATATGTAACCACTGTCGTCAATTTAAAGGATCATCTCACCTAAATTGTAGGCTGTAATGATTGTTTGTCACCTCATCGTCTACTGCTGCTCAAATCACAACACGGTTGAGTGAAATTCAGTGTCTGCTGCTTGAACTTTGCTTCTTTTCCTTTTAGAATAGATCCATAGACTTTCCTAGTGACCTGATAAAATGAAGAGGGCAAGAGATATAGATGTTTTAAGACTAAGTTTGGGTACATTAAATATTGAAACATTATCTGAGGGGTCTATTTAAAATAAAGGAAACTAAAACAGATGACTAAAAGAGTATGATTCTTGTAAAAACTGCTATAAACATTTTATGCTCCCCCAAATAACAAAAAAATAAAAACCCTGTGCTACTCATCCCCTCCCATGCAGTTCTGGGTCTGAATAGAGGATTGTCAGAATTTTATGGTGTTCTTCATTATATTACCCCCCCTATGTTTGCTACTTCTTATCTTAAAGCACCTATTTCAAACGCAACAATAATGATGATTACAGCACCTTCCAGAATTTACAAACTGGTTCACGTTTTTGCGTTACGTGTCACATTACAGTCACCAACTTCAGCGGATAATCTTCAAATGGTTGGAAAATTACTAATGTGTTCATGTTCAGCACATTTTGACCTATTTTTTGGTTGCTAAATAAAGAATCAATGTTTTGTTTGCGTTGACCTTGAAATAAAATACTTCTGTTTTGTGGGTGCCTCAGAGGTTTTAATGAACAACAGCATCATGAATAAGAGCAAACACAAAATACAAGCAGTAAGGAAGTTAAGAGGAGCATTAGGTTGTAAAACCTTATCAGAGACTTTAAACATTTCTAAGAGTTTGGTTTGATCTACCGTCTTTAGCAGGAAAAGCCTTTAGTAGAGACCCATGTAAGAGGTTCATTATAACTCTGAAGAAGCTGCAGAGATCTTGTATATCTTGCATGTATGGTAGAGAGGAAAGAGGACAGCCAGAAGATCGCAAGCTTGGAAGAAGGTTTTCTAGTTGAGATCTTGCTCCACTTGCTCCACTCACAGATCTTTGTCGCTAAACTAAAACTGTATGTCATCCTAAACGCACCATTCCTCATCTATCCATCCATTTTCTTACGTGCTTACCCCAAGTGGGGTCGCGAGGTGCTGGTGCCTATCTCCAGCTGTCTACGGGCGAGAGACGGGGTACACTCTTGACAGGTCGCCAGTCCATCGCAGGGCAACAAAGAGACAAACAGGTCAAACAATCATTCACACTCACACCTAAAGGGACTTTAGAGAAGCCAATTAACCTAACAGTCATGTTTTTGGACTGTGGGAGGAAGCCGGAGTACCCAGAGAGAACCCACACATGCTCAGGGAGAACATGCAAACTCCATGCAGAAAGACCCCAGGCCCCAGAGCCTTCTTGCTGCAAGGCCCACTGCGTCACTGAGCAGCCCGCACCATCTCTCAATGGGGAAAAAATGCTGACGGCAGCATCACGCTAAAGTGATGTTTGTTATTTAGTGGGCAGTCTAAGAATTGATGTGACTATGAATCCATTACAAAGCAGTGCTGAAAATAAACGGATGAAAGCCCTATTGTCAGAACAAAAGAGAAATGGTTTAAATCAAGGCATATTTGTTTTTAAATAGTCTTCAATGTCCAGATCCATATCCAATTGGAAATTGATATTCACAGGAACTCTCTATCCAGTGTGACTAAGATCGGAAAGAGGAACGTTGAGAATTGTCCGTGTCTGGGTGTGCAATGCTAATAGAGACGTACACTGAATGATTTGCAGCAGGAAATGCTGTAAAAGATGAGTCTCACCACGGTATAGCAAGATATTTGCACATTACACTTTTCATATTTTTATTTAAAGAGAATTGTAAGCATCATAGCATTATGCCCTACTGTGTTTTACATAGCTCATAAAATCCCAATTTTGATAGATAATCTTAAATAATTTTAATAGATGATCCTTTCAATAATAGTTTTGCAATACAATCTTAAAATGATTAAGGAAAATGTTAATAAGTTTCCAAAACACCATAGGGTCCTGTTTTATTCCACAGCAATGTTGAAAATTAGCTGAATTCTGTCTTGTTCATGCAAGTTACTGATCTGACTTATTTGTGTCTTTTCTTCTGTTTTTGCCTCATACTGTATATATTCAGTGTGATCTGGCTGCTGCTGTTGATCAGCTCATCGGGAATCACTCCAGCCATGCGGAGGAAGCACATGAGAAAATCGAGGCAAACGAGACTGTCAGTGTGTCTCAGTTCCCAGCTCTTGCTGCAGGCAGCGTCCTCTATCTCATCTCGCCTGACTTGGTCTGTGCTGCGATTGGAGAGGGGAAATGGGCAGAGGAGAAGGAGCGTTTCCTTCACAAATTTACCCATATGGACCACCACAAACATGTTCACAGTCACATAGGCATTATTGGACTTGAGGGTGTGATTCAGGATCTGCGCAACCACTATGAGCCTTCAGATGATAAGGTAAGACTCTGTTAAATACCTTCAGTGTGCGTTAAAATCCAATAATATACGTTCAGCTTGGATACTGGTTTTAAAAGTTTGGTTTCAAGATCTAGCTGTGGGTGACATGATCTAGGATTTAGACACTTTGGCTTGTAGCATAATTTTGCTCCTGGTTTTGAGAGTATTAAGAGGTTCACTTTAATTAGCAATAATTTGGGCTTTGGCAGCTATATTTGATTTTTATCAGTTTTTGAAGTTTTGTCCTATAATAAACAAAAGTAAAAAAAAAAAAAGGAATATAGAGCAATTTAACAAGCTTACATAACAGTCTTTATCACCATGTAGTTAACATTTTCTCAAGAGTTCAGCTTTTATCTTTTACTGAAAGTATCAATAAAAGGGCATCTGTAATTTAAGAGTCCTTTTATTAGCTGACAGCATCAGCCAATGAGTCAAAGTTTACACGCCACCAGGTCAGCACAGCATTTTAACCTGTGCACCAGCGTAAGTCGGATCCCACCCTGCTCATATCTGGTGAGAACCACGTTACCCCATCAGTGCAATAAAAAAATGGCCACTCATGATGGATTAAGTTTGAACCATATAGGTTAATATGCAAAAAAAATAGCATATCATGAAAGAGTTAAAGACCTTTTTTAATAGGCAGAAACTTTTGCCATCAGAAACGGAATTTCAGTTGTCCAGACTGAATCTGCAAAAACAAAGCTAAATATAGGTGAAAATTTCTTAAATTAAGTGTATTTACCCTTAATTTGGGTAGTTAAATAAGATGATTTGCCAATCTAAGGAGCATTTTTACTCTCAAAATAAGATAGTTGGATAATATGCACTTGAAATGGGACAATGCAATAGTGTTTTCTTATTTAAGGTAGAAATTGTCTCGTTTCATTGGCAAAGTGACTCACTTAACCCCTCAATTCAAGAAAAAATGCACTTATTTTAAGAAAAAAAATACTTATTTAGATTTCTATTTTGTCAGTGTACCTTTTAGGGAAGTTGTATTGTTGCAGGATTTGCGAAATTACAAACGCTTGAAAATCGTTGCCAGAAGCCAATAGATGCATCAGCCTTGAATGCAGAGATGTTTCCAACTGATTTACCTGTACCATTCATAACTGTAGACTCAGCTCTTCACTCTGTTTTATTTGGAAAACTAATTTAGCAAGATTTTGATTTATTAATTTCCTCCAGTAGTTGTGAAACAAATCAAGAATGTGATACATTCTTGTGGCAGATGCCACTTGGTGATTTACCCAATCAGCTCAAAGAATTGTACTGGATGTACCTCCTTTTTGCTAATACTTTCCACTGGAGCACATTTACACACATTACAAAGGTTTTTGCCAGGGTAAATCTATATATACAAAAAAGAAATTTATGTATTAGTCTAAAGGTAGATTGAACTAAATTGAAAATGTATGTAACAATGTAAAACTGAAGAAAAACTGTGTTTAAGCATTTTAAACTAAATTAATTTGCTTTGAAACAAAAAAATTCTGTAAGACTAATTTTACCTTCAGTTTAGAATTCAATTGAAATTCTGACTGCTGGAAAAATACCAGAGTTATCTGATGTAGATTGAGGTTGTGCATATGGTAGCTTCCTATTTTAGAAAGTAAGTCACTTTTAACAACATTGAATATTTCTAAGTATCTTTAACCATGTTCAGCATAGTCAATCACCTTATGCATGTTTTTCCTGCAAAATGTTAAGTGTTTAACCAACCCTCACTTTGCCTGCTGCATTGCAACCAATTTTAGACCATTCAAAACAAAAATTAAAAACTATTTCTATGTTTCAGTTTTCTCAAATGGCTATCAGCATTTTTTAAGGCAGAGATCATTTTTAATCCTCTACTCATCTGTTAGATTTATGTTCCAAAATTGCTTTAATATGAGGCCATGAGATCAGGTTTGCACCAGTAACAATAATCACAGTGATCTGGTGGCTTTCTCACACCAAAATCATTAAGTGAAAAGTAAGAAAGTAAGACAGAAAACATGTTAAATGCTAATGTGAAGAGTTTCTTTTTGTGTTGACATTGTGTTTTTGCATCATGTCCAATAAGTTTGAATTTGATACGTTAATATCCCTAAAGTTAATTAGTTATGATTAAAGGTTTTCGTAATAGCTTAAAGTGACAAGAAGATTGCAGGAAAATGTTTTGATTATTGCTTTTCTTCATTTTTCTTACTTTAGAACTGTGTAACAGCTAGTGGCATCATGATGGAGGTTGACCCAGCGTCATCAGATCAGATACAGGAAGTAGGTGCAGTTTTGGGGCGTGTATTGTACCACGCCCTCCTTGGTCATTGCTTTGGTCAGCCCCTACCAGAGGAGAGCTTTTTCCTGGATTTTGTCATGACTCAACTTGGTTCAGAAAATTTCACTGTTCATGGTAAGTAACCAGTGATTGTATCCATGCAGAATCTGTCTGAAAAAACAATTCATCCACTCTTACCAGGGATGGACTGGGACAGAAAAATCGGCCCTGGCATTTTGGACTAGACTGGCTCACCACATTTTTGAGAGAGAGAGAGAGAGAAAAGTCACAGTCAATCACACAAATTGTGCTACTCACACGCCTCCAATCAGACATCCCAGTAATAAATGAGCTTGTGTCAGTAGTCTTTCCAAATTCAATACATACAACTGTGTATGTATGTATGTAAAACAAAATAAAGCATGACATTTCTCACGATATGTGAGCCACCTCCTGTTGGTTGCATTTTTAATGGTGAATACCTTTTGCACAACTGTATTTTTTGTGCTTTGTTGTGGGTGGTGATTAAAAAAGTTTTGTAAAAAGACAAGGATCAGGACAGACAAAGTAATCTATTTCCTCCTGCTCTCTGCTCTCATCTCTCTCGCCATGTCTCTCCTTAGCCGCACTGACATCATGTTCACTGCTCGGTTCGCCGTCGCCTCCACTACAACCACAGACATCCCAAGTTCCAAAAACTCATTTTAGGGAGATGCAATAACAATCTTATTGTACAATTTATTTATGATGTTTTATAATAATAAATAAGTGCCATAAAATATTTGCTCACATGCTTGCATTAATTATCTGTGCCCATGTTTTTATAATATAAATAATTGCCTAAAAGTTCATTTGGTGCCCTATTGTGCCCCTGTATAGTACTGGGTCAGCTGACGCCCCTGGCCGCACCGTGCGCCATACATGCACTCCATCATTCTTCACCCTCACTAGACATGGATACACTTTAGTATATACTCCTGTAAAATGAGGAGACTGTAAAAGAGTAAACTGAAACTTATTGGCTTATTTTTGTGACTGATCCAATCAGCTCTCTGTTCAACCAGTCGCCTGGAATGTTGGTTGAACAGAGCATTGCTTTGGACAGATACGCTGCACAGGTTTCACAAAGAAACCTCCTCCTCACACCCTGCTCTGTCTTGTTGTTGTCTGCGCAATCGCAGTAGTTCTAATCCGCACATGATGCATGAATTGTTGTTTTGCCTGCTCGCCCTCACTTGCATTAAAAAAACACCACCTCCCATAGTCTAAAATCCGGGATAATTTATCCGACTCGATGGCATCCGTGAACAACTGTCGATATCAGGGAGTCTACTTGGGATGTCTGCACCACCACCATCATATTTTACATCAGACACCGGAGCAGATGAAGGGCCTGCTGTTGGGAACATGTCAGTCAGTTTGACACATTTCGCAGCGTCCGTTTGAAGAACTCGTTTCTTTTTTTCGCCCAGTTTCTCTGCGCCTCCCTTGCATTTGTTATCCATTACTATTGTGAACACCGCTGCACAAAGTTCCAATGGAGAGTGAAAGTATTTTTCTACTTTATGATTGGTCTAGTCCTTTAGACTGTCAGGGATGATAACCAATGGGCTGCAGTAGCCTGTGGTAAGGGCCGGATGATCGGAACAGACTCTTGCGCTGCTGATTTTATTTTTCTTCATGCATTATGCAAATATAACGAGGCCGATATATAATGATAATAATACATATTATTAATATACATGTCGGGTCTGCCGGTCCAAACAGCACGTCGGCCCACTGGGCAAATGCCCGGTACGCCCGATTACCAGTCCATGCCTGGCTCTCACAACTTCAAACCAGTTTGTGCTCAGACGTTCTTTCTGGTTTGTAGATTTAGAGGTTCTCATGAAGAGCCTTAAAATTGGACCAGAGGAGGACCACGATCATGATCATGACCATATTGAAGATGCTAAAAATTATCAGAGGAAGCAGAGAGGACAAGTGCGTCATGTAGGAGATCAAACTAACAACACCTGGGATGAGGTATGTATGTAGAAAATATAATTTAGAAGTCCTCAATTGAAATAACACCATGTTGGTGCAACCTCAAGTACTGCAAAAAAAAATCATCAATCGCTCTCATGCATCATATAGTTGACTTTAGTGAAGGAAAAATAATGGTTTAATTCAGTAATCAAGTTTTCCAAACCAGCCACACTGGAGAGTTTGGAAGCACAAGCATCCAGTTTTAAAGTTATTTCCCAGTAGCCTTAGCAAATTGAAATCCTGCCTATGACTAAAACACTTCTAGGCTATTTTATTTACATTTTTGTAACTGATACCTTTTTTTTTTATTATTTTAAACCTGGTCATGTTCTAAAACATTTCATTTTGAGAAAGAGGTGAAAACAGAACAGCATAATTATCAGATAAAATATTTCCTACTAATACAGTAACTTCCGGTGCTTTGTCCTGGAAGACTTGTATTTTTTCTAAATGTAACCTTTTAATTCAGGTCAATTTATATCATCTGCTCATCTCATTTCTAAGCACATACTGCATAACAAGCTAGCATGCTCAGGGAATACTGTAAAGAATGCACTATATAGATGATTGCTTCTCTTTTTCATTATTTCCAGCAATGTTTCACAGCTGAAGAATTGGTCCAGATCTATGGTCTGTCTGAGGAAAGTTCTGGAATGGGAAGATCTGGCTTTGCAAAGCTGAGTCCTGCATTGGTCCAGCAGATCCTGAGTGGATCATGCTCAAAGGTTATAGAACCAGCAACCTCCGATCAGCTCTCCAAAACTGAGAGTGAGTGTCTTTAAAGTTAAACTGGCAGATTTCAAGAGAGCTGCCATAGAAATGGCTACTGCTGTGATTGCATTATTGTAGTATTGCACTTCAATTTCTTTTTATCATGTAACCAAAAAACACTATTTGATCATTTTGTAATTCTTATTATACCTGACCTCTTCTTTTTCCTGTTTTTCCTGCTGCAGAATACCTCTATGCGACCCTCGCCAATATTGTCATTACCCTCATGGCCATTTTAGGCGTTGCGATCCTACTGTGTACCTCGTGTACCAGTGTTTTCCAGATCTGTATCCAGTTCTGTATCAGCATGGCTGTGGGTTCTCTGACTGGGGATGCCCTGCTGCACCTCATACCATCGGTGGGTGATTTTAACCCTTGTAGAGTTGAAGTAAAATGAATTATATGAATATACAGCTTAGATACCATGTTAAATGGTAATTCAACATTGTAAATAATGCTTTTTCTTTTGCAAAGTATAACTTGAATTTATTTTTGGTTTATGGATCTTATAAAGACATTAAGGTTTAACCATTCTGTGGTCTTCTAGGTTCTGGGCCTACATGTTCACTCAGGGGACGATGACCACGATCACCAACATGAGGAAACCCCAGATTATACATATAAAATGCTAGCGGTGATTGGTGGGATCTACGCATTTTATCTGATGGAATCCATCTTCTCAATGATCACAAATGAAAGGAATAATCATCATGAGGTACGAGGAGACCCTGAAACTGAAAATTGTACTTTACTTCTTGGACCGAGTCACAGCGGCATCAGTCTCAGCAGACACTCCCAAACTTCCCTCTCCTCTGACACCCCAGCAATCTTGTCTGAGGGAAGCTCAAGGCAATACAGGGCAAGCCAAGAGACATGGTCCCTTCAGTGTGTCCTGGGGGCATTAAAAACAGATGTCCAAGCCACCTTAGCTGGCACCTGACATATTGATGTGATGGAGAAGTAATTCTATCCTCTCTTAGATGGTCAAGCTCCTTATCCTATCTCTAAGGGAGTTTCCTGTCACCTTGGTCAGGAAGCTAATTTTCAGCAGAGAGCCAGCAGACCCATCCACAAAAGAGCAGGGACAAAATCTATGCGTCCTCCAACAAGACCCTCTCTGGCCCTTTGCTGCCGCTGGCAATGCAAACCCGGCTCCAGCTTAGCTGGTACAGCACCTCTAGTGAAAAAAACAGTCTTGTGGAAGAATGTCAGCCTTGAGAGCAAGATAACATCCACTACTAAGGTACTTGGGTCGGATTTCATCCCCCTTTTTCACCACCTTGGTGCCTTCATCCTGGGTGAGATAAAAGTTAATCTGATGACAGATTGGTTGAGGAGATCATCAAAGGTCAGCAGTTCCCACTGGCCTAAAAATAGTGTTACTGCTTACCTCCTAAGGTGTCAGATGGTGTGCAATAGTCTTTCTCTGTGGTCTCTCCAAACTTCTCCCAAGCCTTGGTTTTTGTCTCTGCCACCGCCTGGAGTAGGGGCTTCCTTACCTTCATTGAACTTGCCTCAGGAGCTCCACAAGACAACAAGACTCGATAGGGCTCCTTCAGATTGATGGAATATCTTATTGCTTACGTCCATCAATGGGTTTGGTGTCTGTTGTTACAACAGGCGCTGTGGGCGTAAGGTCTGTGGTGCCTAAGGTGGCTGTATTAGCAATGGAAACACCACATATCCATGTTCCCAGCATCCCCCAAAATGTGAGAACAGCTCTCCTGGAGCTGAGAGTTAAATACATCCCTTCTCAAGTGGCCTGTTTAGTCTGTCTAGCTTCCTCATCTTCCAGCATATCCAGCTCTTTGCCCATCTTCAAATGAGTATCTAAAACATGCAGCTGAAGGTCAGAAGACACTTATGGTCAACCATGGTGTTCATTATGGACAATCAGTGGCTTGCAAAGAAACATCAATGTCCCCCCAGATCATCCCTTTTCAGGTGTCATTGTTGTTTCCCACATGGGCATTGAAGTCCCCCAGCAAAATGATGGATTCCTCAAGAGGCGTGCTCTTTAGCCCCTGATGTGGCCTTTGGAGACCCTGGCAACAAAGCCTCTGGGATCATCTGAGCACTGAAACCCCGGCCACCATGTTAGGGTGGCAGTTCAAGGCGGGAGACATTTGTAATTAAAAAAACTAAAATAATAATCCAAGTATAGTTTATTTTTCTGAAAATAAATCAAAATAACTTTCAAAAATATATTATCCGCCTCTATTTTGCACCTGAAGAGTTAATAAGTATGGAGCGCTAAGGGGGACAAAATAAAATAAATATAGCATGAAATAGGTTTCATAATGACACAACTAAATGTAAATAATGCAATGTAAAATGAAATTCATAAATGTACCATTTAATAATGCAATGTAAAAATGCTTAATTCAGTAAATCCATAAATAAGATATTCTATTACATTATGAAATGTAAAACCAGAACATTAAATGTGCCATTAAATGATTTTATATAAATTTTAGATTAAGACATGAAATAATGAAGGCCATTTTTTATTTGCTTTACATATAATTTTCATTATTTCATTCTGTATTTGTAATAAGGGTCTGTGCATCAGACTCATCATATAATTATCTAAACTATCATCTACACCCATCAAACTCAGTGTGCAGGAATAGGGCTGTCTCCATAGAAACCATGATGTCTGACGGCTGTTTCTCACTGAGCAAGACAAGACAACTTCCTAATTATGCAAAGTTGTGTTGTTTGTGATTAAAGCTGGAAAGCCGTGTTAAAACAGCCTGTACAAAATCAGACTCTGGTTTACCAGTCAGGAATTGTGATGTTTGTTTATCTTTATTCTGGTAGATGACAAATAGAAATAATTTATCTCAGACTAATTGACCTAAAAAGTTAGGGTTGACTCTGATTTAATGCCAAAAAGTAAGAAAAAAGCCTTTTTATCCATCAATACAGTTGATATGCACATCCTGTTTCAACTACATTTCTTATCAACTTAAAATTCGGAAATAGATAATTCCATAAGTGTTTTGCCTCTTGGAAATTCTCAGTGTCCTTCCAACAGATTTGCCATCAAATCACCATTTTTAATTTTTGAAATGCTTCACACCCCTTGCAGGAAGAGTCTAACCCTCACCACTGTGACCATGCTGGGGTTTTAGAGATGTATCAACAGGAGAAGAAACAGAAAGATAAGTTACAGTCTTCATCAAAGGCAGATCTGGTGAGAAATAACATTTATAACGTTTTAAACATTTTTAGAGATCCCTTATTAAAATATTACTTGAGTATTTACGAGAGAAAAAAAAATACTTGCAAAGAAGTACGGTAGCACCCAACAAATTGCAGATGTGTCAGGATAGATCACCTTTAAAACATACAGAACAAGTATTGCACGGCTATTTTAAAGTACTGTGGCTGTAAATGAAATGCAATACGTACATTTCAGGTAGATACTGAAGGGGAAGAAAAAATCAATTTAGAGCTGAAAAAACAAAAAAGAGGTGAGTGGAATGGCTTACAATAAAAAGGGAATTTGTTAAAGTGGGACATTCAAGATGTTTATTGCATAAACCATAATCTTACCTCTTCCAGAAAAGAGCCTACTGCCTTACATGATAACCATTGGGGACGGGATACACAACTTTGCAGACGGATTAGCAATAGGTGCGGCTTTCTCTATGTCATGGAGGTCTGGTCTTTCCACATCCCTGGCTGTACTCTGCCATGAACTCCCACATGAACTTGGTGAGCTATCTCACTCCGAAAGTCTAATTTGATAGTGGAGTTTTTTTTAGATAAAGACTTATCATTGCTGTTGGTTTTATTTCTCCAGGGGATTTTGCCGTCCTGCTTCACAGCGGCTTGTCTGTCCGAAATGCATTGCTTTTAAACCTGGGCAGTGCTCTGACCTCATTTATTGGGCTGTATATCTCTCTGTCTGTAGCCACTGACCTTGCAACCCAACAGTGGATAGGTGCAGTAGCCGCAGGGCTCTTTCTATATGTCGGTCTGGCTGATATGGTGAGTGCTACTGTTCACTTACCTTTCACATAAATCCTGCAGAAACAGATTGAAAACTCCCTTTCGTCTTTCTTACTTGCAGCTCCCTACGTTGATCCATGCTCACAGTAAGAGACAATGGCAGAAATTCCTGATTCAGAATGCCGGCCTCCTAACTGGTTGGATTATCCTGCTGTTGCTGTCACTATACGAAGACAAAATTAGCATTTAAAAGTTTTTTTTTTTAATCTGCTCTTATTGTTAATTTTGTTTGCAAAAACCTTGTTAAGCATTTGGAAAATAATAAATCTTAATACGTTCATTTTTTGTCAAAATATTTCCTAAAGGGGTCACAAGAGGACAACAAGCAGCCATAGGTTCCTTGCATCCTATCTATCCGTTCATATTGAAGATCCAGAGTGTATAGGATGGTGTTACATCCTGGAAAGGTTGCCTGTTTATGAGTAAAGCCTCTTGTGTCCTCTGTTGTTCTTTACTGTTGTTCCGTTGACACCGATTGAGAACACTTCAAAAGGAAGCAAAAGAATCAGTAAGGTTATATAACCTAAAAAGGTCTACTAGGGTGATTCCAGAATAAAGTTTGCACAGTAATATGCATGATGTAGCATGAGAGTTCTGTTTAAATTGTTGCTCATCCCCCAAAGTGATACCAGATCCATTCCAGGGTGCTGAGATGAGCCCTGAAAGCAGTAGCAGTAGCATCATATAAATTAAAGCAGGACCTACCATGCTGGCCACATCCTAGTTTAATTGCACCAGCTCTGGGCACCCAGGGCACACTTTTCCATACTTTACTAAATTGCTGTTGGTATCATAAATCCTGCTCTTTAGTAGTTGTATCAATAGGGACCTTCCTCAAGAACTGGTACAAACAATACACACATAGCACACATATATCAGTGCATTCGGTAGGGTTACATCTCCAATGTGAAAATTTAGGCGAAAGGATTTGGGACCTCTTCATGTTCTTTGGGATATTTTTAAATGTTTATGCCCACAAAGCAGGGCTAAAATTGACTGTGGAGTAACGGGTATAGTGCATTATCTGATTGATCCCTGCAAATTCACTTTTTATAATGTGGGAAATTCCTGCATACAACAATGACTGTGATTAGTTTTCCTCTGATTTAGACAAGAGCATTTTAACACGCCTCTTCTGTCTTCTTCTTATGCTTCTCCTGTAAGAGCACAGTTTACTTTTTTGCTAGTAAACCATTGGTTATCGGATTTAATGCCTTTAACTTTCAAAGTATTCCAAATCTGGATCACTGGCCAAAACACAAATCTCTAGTTGTGTCAGCTCAATAGAAACCTGCTCCTTAAAAAATATCACACAAATATAAACGAAACTAAGACGCACTGAAGCTAGTGATGTTGAGATTGACCCAAACCTCCTAGATCCCTCACCAGGTGGCCTTATAGGCATAAACATTCCTAAGCAACCGAGTATGGGCGCATTATAAGACCTGTTTTCATGCTCAGAAGTAATAATCCCCGCCAAAATGTATGACTCCTCCCACTCTCAAACATATAAGGGAGAATTCCCACTCCTACTTATGTTTTCGATCTTTTGTCCGTCTGAATCGCTTTTATCAGTGCTGCGCATTGTTATCAAATGTAACCAGAGTCGTTTTGGCTTGTTAGATCAGACGTGACAGGTGCATTGTATCACGTAAATTAGCGGGTGGACCCAGATCTAATGTTCTCACTGTACCAATCAAAGGTGATTTTAACCCAGTTGTTTGACCTGGGTCCACATGGTTCAGTGAGTTGCCACCGAAAGCCAATTGTTCTCAGATTTAAACAGGTTTTGTTTACCAGTGGGAAAGGGCCATGGGAAACTTGAAGAACATAAGGTAGCCCCAATCCAGTGTAAAAATGGCCTTATTAATGCTGGGCAATACAAATACTAAAACTTATATCTACCAAATTAAAGGTTGTAAGACGATGGATGCACTCCAATACAACTACCAGTAACATTGTGGGGATTTTGCAGATGGCTTTTCAAAGTTGTTTATTTTAGTTTTTAATGAGCTCTGTCAAATGTAGAAAAATACTTTTTCAAATTATAAATATGGACATAAATGCATCTTTTGATCGGGTTAGTTGGTCTTTTTTTCAAAGAACTCTTTGCTGAATGCCTTGTGACAAAAATGCTGAACTTGTTTCTGTTTTCAATCAATGTCATTTTTTTAGTAATCATATTTTTATATGAATAGACAAAATTATATTTTTATGAATACTGTACGTTTCTATTACTTTGTAATTATCTAAAAACTGTATGTACCTGCATCTATTGTTTTAGTTCCTGTTTGCTTTCTCTGTAATGAGCCTTTAGATCATCAGAATGACCAATATTTTATGAATAAACTGAACTAAATTAATTTGTTCCTTTACATCTGAAGCAGTGTATAAATCCATTGTGGCAAGTAATGAATCCTACAAAGAAAGCAGAACCATTCCAAGTATAAAAACTCAATCATTAACCATGTTCAAAAAATAAAACTCATTCCAACCACATGTGTGATACTCAGCATCATCCTAAATAAAACTTGGGTATCTATGGTCTTATCAGAGCACATGGGACAAATGCAAAGTGATAGCAATATGTTTTCGATAAGGAGATATTCCAGGCAACAGACTGGGATGGGCGTCTTCCAGGAAACACCCTGTTGGTATCCTTCAGCTTAGAGCAAGGACTATTATTTCCTTTTATTTGTGTCAAATCAATCTGATGTTATCATAGATTATTTTATATAGAAATAATTTTTTAATCACTTTTTAAATTATTCAAATTTAAAGCTACACTGTAATTTTCAGTCAGATCTAATGGTCAGACTGAAGCGACGCAAACTGCTCCCACACTGCCTCTTATTTTTAACAATATCCGCAACCGCTTTGCCTATTTTGTCAAGTGATGTCAAGGTTTCTTTACATTAGATCACAGCATCAAATCCATAAATTCTTCAACACTGTTGTCAACATTGACAAGTATACAAATTGGGTGATTTGAAAGTATGATGAATTGACCACTGTTTTAGTGAAGGAGGTCGCAGAGAAGCTCCTTCAAATCTAAATAGAAGACTGAAAATATTTTACAAAGGATAAAGCAGGGAATGTTCTTAAATGGTTTTAATCTAGCCCTAAAACGACTGTTTCATATCCTACATCCAGTACAGAAACGGACCAGCTGATGATTTCTCTCATCCCGCTCAGCCCACTCACAGGCTCCTCTGGTCCCCAGCGGTCCTCTGTCCATCTTCAGCACTTAGTCTCTAAATGCTAGTATTGGCCTGTCATCATCTGTTCCTGATCCGTCTCCCTCGTGGTCTCCTTCAGTGTAACGCTGTCCTCCTTGCGGTAAGCTGCAGCCACCCTACCCTCCCTTTGGACGTATTTCCACACAGCAGACTAATCTGATCTTCCACCGTTCTGCTTCAATCCTCTGTAGCCTCTTTCAGCTGTAGCCTCTTTCAGGCCATCATTGCTCTGTCCCAGCAGGACTCTCCCAGCTATCACTGTGATCCTCAGCTCTCTTCCTAAGCTGGCAGCGGTTCTACCGCTGTGGTTCCTCAGATCCAGAGGTTGGCATAGCTGGCCGCTGTTCTCACACTCATTCACCACTACTTCTTTTTGAGCTAAGGAGCGCCGTCTCATCTTACCTCTGTTGTCCAGATGATTCGTTCCCGTTTTGGACACCCTGACCAAAAAAAATATGCCCCGAGGGCAGGAGAAAGATGCGAGCCACTGAGAAAAAAAAGAAACAGCTGCCAATTGAATTCGTTCATCTTCATATTAACCATGCAGTTGCAGGTTGTAGCCAGTATAAGTCTAGTTTGCACAGATCATTTCACAAATAGAATTTTATTAGTATGTGTAGGATTGTGTATAGATCTATAACTTGTCCAAGTCCAATTGTAATGCTGATCTCTATAGTCACTAGTTTGTCAGCTCTGCGCTGCCATAGCTCAAAGATGTCTGCCTCCACAAATGCAACTCCTATGTAATTATAAATAGAAATGTCTAAGGCAAACATAAATACTGAGAATTTAAGTTCATAGGTCATAATAAATAGAAAATATATTACATTTATGTCAATGTAAATAAATCCCTGTAATTATAAGAACCTGTACCTTTAATTTAGATTCACATATGGTAAACTATGATGCAACAACTACCTTACCAGCAATTATTTCTGCTTAGCCTTAAGCCTTCAAGGCATAGTTAATTTGTTTATAAAAGTAAGGTTTTTCTCATTAAATTTAAGTCAAGTGCCATAACATAAATAATGCTGCATTTTTAATAGAACACAGGTATATGATCTATAAACAGACATGTATCATTCTGCTTTATTTAATAAATCTTAAAGGGACAGAGGTAACTTAATGTTTGTTTTTTTGTTCTTCTGTCTGGCTTACTTGTTTTACCCGAGTACATTTTATGATTATACAAAAATAAACTGGTCAAATGAAAACATATTTTTAATTGTAATCATTATTGATTAGAAAAAGCTGTTAAAAAAAAAACTGGAAGTGTGTGAAAAATCAATTGCACCTTACTACTTGACACTGTTGTTGGAAAGCAGATATGAAATCTTCACGCCACACCCAACCTGATTAATGCTAAACCTGTGGAATCAGTGAGTCCCTTCGATAAGCCTGTCTGACAACATGAAATAGGTTGAAATATCTCACACGCACATCCAACTACAAAATAAAAATAATAATAATAGTAATACTGACTATTTTCAGTGACTGGGTGGGTGGCCTATCAAAATTACTGCCATTAATGGTCTCTTGGAGCATTAATGGTCTCAGACTGCCCCTCTGTCTCTGAGCCAGACCCTTAACCCCACTCTGCTCCCTGGGCGTCTTTAAATCACTCACATAAGATTTGGTAGTTTTTTGTTTGCCCTGATGCAGATGTGCTATGTGATGTTAATGTTATCTCAACTAATCTGCCCCCGTTACAAGTTACATGGACATCTTTGCTTGGGACAGAGTCCGAGAACAACTCACTTCGTGCACAGAAAGAAGGATTATTATCACTCAGAGCAAGATTACGTGTTCATATAATGGGTGAGTGCCACATGCATGACATCAAGGATGACCTGTATCTGAGTTTAACTGAGGCAAGATAGCCTATTAAATCTGAACAACCAAGATATGCACCAGACAAATTATACAGATTAAAGCATGCTGCTGCTGACTGAGGCATACCAAATTCCTGGAGTCAGCTTTTAAATCTGGTATGCATCATTACTCTTTATGATATTTTATGGTTAAAATGAGTCTTTTGACATATTGTGGCAATAAAACAATTAAAGGAATACCCTCAAGGGCTGGACCTTTGAGCTTGTCAAATGCTATATGGATGTTGCATACATTTTCAAACATCTGTATATGGAAAAAAGAAGAGAATAGTAGAGGTGGCGCTTTACTGTAATAGAGTATAACTCTACTGATGAAAGTAAACAAAGAAGGCAAGAGATGAGAATGTAAAAGAGCTTTAATTCCAGTGAGAGTTTTATATATTCTTTCTCTAAATT